TCATAAAATTTATCTTGAGATTTGAGAGGACAGGAATTTTTTTATATAAAATATAAAGTAGTGGAGCAAAATGAAATATAAAATAATTAAAAGAACAAAACTCACTATGTGTGAATCGAACCCGTCTTTAATTTACTTTATATGATATTTTATTTAATGACTAATCAGTTAGATGATATATCGCTTTCAATACTTTAATTGATTTAATATATAATGATAATTTTTTTTAAAAAAAGTTAATAATTTTAAAAGATTTTTTTAATTTGTATTTTATGATATATATTAATGATGTAATTAATATATATTTTAATTATCAATTTATATAAAAAATAAAAAAATTGATATTAATTTTAATATTAATGTCACTTATCTTAATTTAATTACTTATTTGTTAAAATTAAAGTCAAACTTTATTCTTTTTATGTAATTTAATGATAAAAAATGCATTAATTATCTATTTAACATGTGTCGTAAAAACAAATATTGGAAAAACTCATTTCTAAGTTGACAAAATAAATATTAATTTTTATATTAAATTGAACCAATGAAAATTTGGCATGTTGTTTTTTATAATTAAAATAAAACTTAGCTTTCACATTTTTTAAACTACAAAATAACAATTATTATTATTATTTTTTAGATTTGTGCTTAAAATTTTTTTTTAAAAAAAATTGACATTAGTTTTACTATTAATATTACATGAATTGTTTTAATTAAATAAAAATTAATTTTTATTTTTTAATATAAAATAATATTAAAAAGGTATTAATAAGTAAAAAAAAACTCTTGTTATTATTTTAATTACGATAAAGTATATTTGAATCAATATTTACAAACTTGAGACTAATTTTCTCTAAAACGAATATTTTTAAAGGCATATTTCCAACTTCATTTTTCTTTAGATAATTTTAAGGATATAGTATAGCTCTTACATTAACTTAATATTTTTATAGAAATTATTTTCTTTAGTAAATGCAAGACTTTAATTTTAAACTTATACAATACTTACAGTATTTACTTATTAATAAATTTAATTATAATGTTATGGTTATAATATTATGTAAAATTATATACTTATAATCAAGATGTAATATTAAATAAATATAACATAATATTAAATGATAGATGCATAAAATATTATAAATAAATTCTAAATAAAGAAATTAATTATATAAAAATATATTATATTATAAACTTATAAGAATAGTGCTTATCCGACCTATATTTTAAATATGAGGAAAAAATTTATTTTAAAATTATATTGTTTTAATAAACTCTCATTAAAAAAGATTAAAATACTTTACTTTTAAA